TAAAAGCGCTCGGAAGGGTCGAAATCATTGAATATCATAATTGGATGTGATTCTGATGAGGTTTGGACCGATTGGAGCGGTTATTGTTAGTGGGCCGATTTCCGTTCTTATGCGGACTTCACCTTTACCTATTGGAAATACACGAGATATTAGCCAAATACACGGGATATTAGTAAAATACGCGCGATTTCACTGAATATACGAGAAATTAGCATATAAACTCAGCGAACGAGAGACGGGGTAGGGGAGGGCGAGCATGACAGTGAGTTCCTAAAACAGATTTCAGTACCAGACTTTCGTATTTCCAGAATATATTTCTGTTATTCCAGATATTCAACTAACGTCTCATGTTTTCACTAAAACCCTCCATACTTTCCAACAAAGCTTACGAAAAGCCCGTATTTCACTACTGTGCACCACACCTCTCGATATGCAAAATTTTCGATTTGCACTAGAATTCTCACAATTCTCAAAATTCTCAACTTGCATCGCATTTCTCGATTTGCAAAATGTTGGATTTGCATTCATGTTGCGCAGGTTGGAGAAAAAGTGGATTTGCGGCAAACGCAAATTCTCCATAATGCCATTTTTCTACGCGTGGATGTAGACTAGATGAATATCGTCCTCTTGTCGTGTTTTTTCTCTCATTTGCAGAAAGAGAAAGAAAGCGAAAAATCTGTTCTGGTCACAGAATGGAAGAAATGTTTGTTTTATATTTAATCAGTTGCACAATTCATCTAATCTAAAGCCAAATTATATGTCTTTTTCTAGCGAACGAAATGAAAGCGATGTCTTTTAGTCCAAGTGTTGACATATCAAAATTTGATGATTTTTTTCTAGAGAAGCGGTATTTGAGAAGCGATATTTTTCTTCTGCAGAAAACTTTACTTTTCTGCAGAAGAAAAATATCGGTTATAATGAGTTTAATGCAAAATCGCTGAACTTAACCAGTTAAATAAAAATTAATTAGTGTCCATTTCTAGTTTCTATCTCTCTGAAACAGAATGTTCGACAACGTGTCGAACTATTTTTCAGCAATAAGGCCCCTCTAGTTGTTGAGATAGAGAATCACAGATATCATTGCTTAGCTTCATCAAAAATAGTTTCTTCTTGAGTAGCTACATCATTTTTAAGTAAACTTTTTTCCACTATTAACCTTTCCGACTTTCTCTTCTGGTCATTTAATCGTCGAGAAAAAGAAGTTTCACATCGATATTAAGACGGACATATCGGAAAATATCTTTCAGAATAGGCAAATAAACGTTTCAAGAAAGAGTTAAAGAAGTTTGTGATTTGTGATGTATATGATCAGAATCAGAACCTGATATTTTTGTTTGAGAAAACAAAATATGTACACTAATTCGGACAGAATGTAAGAAAAAGTTTAATTTAGATATGGTTTACAAGATGTATGTTTGATTAATTAAATGTGTATGATAGTAATACACGACGCCGCTGGCTTTTCGGCCGGCGCATAAACCTATGCGTGAACCTATAGCAAACATATATAGCGTTAATGATAACTTTTTTAGTCTAAGTAACGTGTCATCACGGAGTTCGGATTTTTCAGGGCTTTTCGCAAGAATTGAATATCTCTGAAACGAAAAGACTTTTAGACTATCGCCAAAACATATCAGAATGTTTCCTGGAAACATGACCTCTACTGTGGAAGAAATCAGAGACAATGGATTGAGCAGCATTGTACAGTGTTAGATTAAGGGCATCCCTTCCTTTCCTCTGACCAAAAAAACTACTAAGGTCGAAATTGAGTTTGACACATTCCTATGTAGTCCAGACTATGCTCTTCAAATTGAGATCTAAGCAAATTCAAACGGATGTTCGGTCAAGAAGTTATGAATCTCCTACGAAGAGACCCAAAAACAGCTTCATTCAGCTAAAAATTCAAAATTTTCGAAATTGGAACGAAAACTTTTTTCCATACGTGCGAAAGATAGAGCAGACTCTTCTGAATCGAATAAGACAACCGCAGCCTCAGGCAACATCAAAAACCAAAACTAGAGTCATTGTAATTAGACGTATTGTTTGGCGCCAACATGTACACTATCGCTTTTCTCAAAAACGTCGTTTATAATGAAAAATGAGGCAACTTCAGGTCATTTTTGGTTCCTATTTCTTATAGAAGGAAGCATCCAGGAATTCTGAATCCACGACAACTTTTGCTCTGCCAGTCAAGATCTATCTACCCTGAAAAGTTTGAAATTTTTGGTCGAGCCATTCTGGAGACAGCCGAGAATACCCTTAAAGCTAATATGCAATGGCGCTTAAGTTAACCGTACTATGCACTTTTACCATAACCTCTTTTTTTCTTGCTTACCAACTGTTGCTATGACTATCGACTGAACATCGAAACGTGAACAAGCCCAGGGACCAGTATGGTCACATAGATTCTTTACTGTTTTGAGCAAATGGCTTGTTACTGAGTATTTTATAATAATAGAAATAATTGTTACTAATAATTGTGTTGCAAATAGGGTACGTGCTGATATTTTCATAAAATGTCCAAATTTTATATTTCTTATTAGTGATTTTGATTCCACACTAAGTTGATATCCATATATCATGAAAGTATACGTGGGAATTAAATTACCGTCGAATATTGCTGCACCTAACATTTGTGCTGCGATTAACGTACTCATAGGAATACTGGTTTTTGCTTCTACAATCCCTGTTGGTAATATAGTTAGAATTGCAAATGGAACAACAATAAATAAATAATACCATGGCATAAAATGACCATAATAACATGATAATACCGATAAAACAAATGCAATTACGAATACTGAAATATACCACCATTCTGGTGCTTCGTGATATTTTGACATTAATGTACAATGTATATCATTTTCACGTTTCTCTAATGATGTACGGAATTGTTGAAGTAGATCTGTACCATGATAGAGTATTGTGTGAACAACCAATGCAACAAAACAGCCAAGAACAAGATAGTATGTAACGACTGTTGTACAATCGAATGTAATATCTGCAGCTGTAATATTTGAATTCAGAATTATTCCTTTAAGATCACGCGTCAATATGTCACCATTTGGTTTAAAAAACAAGCTTGTTGCAATAGGCATTCGTTGAAAATTCCATACATTTGAATAATAGACAGCAGGTATAAGTAAGCAAATGAATATGACAAATCCAATTAACAAATTATTAACCGCCCATCGTGGTACCAATACTGGAGATCCTAGATCTTGTGTTAATGTTTTCCAGTTGAATACCAACGAGCCCATACCAAGTCCATTATAACCAGTTAACTGGCCAAGAATCGCGTTGTTCGAAGAAATCATACAAATCCAAGAAAATGCCGATAATACAGGCATTATATAACCAGGTAACCAATAAAAAACTGTTTGAAAACATGTAATTATTAAAAAAAAATTTCTACGACTCAAGTTTAGCCATCGAAAACCTATTGATTCTTGTTTTTCGTGAATAATACGCAGTAAAGCGATAACTGGCAGATTTGCTGGCCAAATCATATCTGACGGCCATACAAGGAAGCGGCGAAGAAAGCCTAAAAAAAACACATAAGCTATAAATTCCTCTAGAACTCGATGTATTCGGCTGAAGTCTTGTGTGAAACGTAGCTGAAACTTCCATAAGCCTCAGCTATAGAAGAATTTTGTACCAGATAAAAACAAAGTGGTCACAGTTTCAAGGACACTCAGGGCAAAAGAATAATCGTGAGAAACTCACTTATTATAGAAAAGTTTTCTTTGTTAACAAAACACTAGAAAGCTTTCAAACGATTTCGTGAAGTTTCGCAGAACGGAAGCTTTTTTGGAAAGAATTTTCACTATAAACGCACGTTAGAAATGATTTTCTCCTCTTTTTTGTTATTGTTCCGTTATATGCTACTGCATAGCTAGAATAATTGTAGGAAATATTTATAATTTACTATTCTGAAGGCTCGCATTTTCTGCTGGATCCGATATAATAAAACCAAGATGAATTAAAAAGTTCAAAACGATTGTATTTCAAAAACACCATGTTTTGGAACGTACTACTATTTTTGTCATGAGGTTTGTTATTTTGATCTGCAACTACCTTCCAATAAACCCTAAGCTCAATTTCAATTTCAAGCGGATATGTGTTCGTGGAAGAACCGTGGTACGTTGAAAGTAAGATGTGTAGTGATCTCTCTTTCGTGATATGTCGTTTGATATATTTGTGCATATAGGTGCATCGAAAATTATTCGTACAGCATGCAGTTTCGGAGTAAATGAATCATTTCTCTCTAAGGAAGTAATATTTCGTTATGAGCTTTTCCCCAAACTATTACTCAGCGTGTCTGGTTTTGTCTGTAAGAAGAAGCCGATGTGAAATTTTACGTGATTTTAGTTTTGTTTCGCATCCAAAAAACTCTCTCCCTTTGCAGGATTATAGAGGAGATTGATTCTTTAACATGGGGATCTCCCCAGCTCTTTATCACATTTCCTCCAAATGATACAAGCAATTCATTGATATTTAGAAATTATTGAGTATAACACTGCTACAAAAATCATAATAGATTTTTAACAAAAATCAATTTATGGTTTATTCAAGCTTTCGATAAGAGACACTTATCATCATCAGGAAAAACCAAAAAGTGAAATACAATCTCTATATATAGTAAGAGTGCTAATTAATAGAGTATAGATAGTATATGTTTTTGTAGCAGTGTTATACTCAATAATTTCTAAATTTATTTCTACTGCTCCACCTTCAAATTCATTGCTAGTTGTACAAGAAAAATGTAATGACATGATACACTGTTTTGGCACACTAGGAAAAAAAATTTTCCTTATTTTTTCAAGAAATTTGCAGAATAAATCTAATATCGTGTTGGATAGTCTGTTTGTATTGGGATTCTCAAAACAGTGTATCGTGTTATCAGATTTTTTATATACAGCTTATCAAAAAATCGGTTTTGAGATACGCACATGAAAAGATAGCCTGAAGTGTCTACTACCAGAATCTGTATTGCTTTTGGTTACAAAAGTGGTTTTTCGGGGATTTTGAGCAAGTTTTCTAAGAGCCTCGAAAAAATGGGTCTTCAAATAATGTTTTTTTCCTAGATACTTATGCAATTAAAGTTTTTCTGAAAACACAGCTTTGTAGAGCAAACATTTCTGATCAAAATAAGACTTCGCACAACTCTGTATGACCTTGCATCGAAATGTTACAGGCATCTTCCTAGAAGTCATAAAATCGAGTATTTCATACAGCATTTTCGTTATATAAGAGTTACATCTGAAGTGAGCCCCAAGATTTTTAATAGCGGTCTGTCGTAGAGAGTTCATTCTTTTTTTGTTTAAATGAGGAAAAGAAAGTATATCGACTGACCGACGTCGATTTTTGAATTAGATCTTAGTTTTTTGTCAAACTGAGGATTTTTAGAAAATCCGGAGGCTTTTTCGGGTTTCGTAGGTTGTTAGTTGCCTGAAAAACCAATAAAGGCTTAATTGAAAAATCGGCGCCGGTCAGTCGATGTTGTTAGGTGTCTAGTTTAAAATAAAATAAACCCGAACTCTCCAGCTTGAAGTATATTAAAAAATCTTGGGACGCCGTTCAGGGTCCTTTTTGGACCTTGATCTCTGGAAAACTCCTAAACCAATAGACTAGGAGACAAA